GGCTGTCTATACGTGTCAGGCATTTATATTATTTTTCTAGCTTCTCATCTCTGGTTCCCGAATGCATTTTCTAGAGAAGCCTAGGTATCTTCACCACTCAACAATGATCCTCCAAACACTGTACACAAATCAAGACATAGTTACAAGTCTATGAAATCTGCTTACCTGCTGTATCACTGGTCTTTTAAAGTATTCAGAGAGGGACTTCCCTGGTGGTTCAGTGGTTAAGACTCTGGGCTCCCAATGCAGGGGGCACAGGTCCCTGGTCAGGGAACTAAATCCTATATACCACAACTAAGAATTTGCAAGCCATGACTAAGACTGGTGCAGCTAAATAAATAAATTAAAAAAAAAAAAAAAGAATTCAGAAAGCTCTGTTAAAACCTTCCTTTGAGCACATTCATGTTCTATGAACTAGGGTAAAGCAATACACCCAAGAGCCCACTACATGAAGTCTCTTTAAGTTCTCCTGCCTTTTGAAGGGTCGTAAGACAGCCAAGGTGAAAACTTCAAAGCAATCATCACAAATGATGAGGATGAACATAAGTCCTACATGAACTATACTAAAAACAAGGACCTCTGCTCCTCCCCTGGAACAAAAGCCTTCTCTCCCTGTTGGTAACACCAAATGCCCTATGTTTATAGTTTACTGACTTTAATTCTACTAACAATATTTCAGAGTATGTTAGGAATGCGCTAAGTGCTATCTCCAGCACTTAGGAACTTTTTATAATAACATTTAAGCCCATTCACCTCAATTTAAATAATTTTAAGGAAAATCACTTCTTAGGAAATCTCACTGTGTTTCTATGAAATGTTTTATATTTAAACATTTGTTACTAACACTATTAAACATAGTGTTACTATGACATGATTTGTATTTACATCAGAATCCAGTCCCCATTACCTGTTTTTGCCTTTCACATTTCAAATTTTTTCTTAAATTGTTCAAAAGGATACCCGAGAGATAAAAGGGTGCAACTTAAAATAAGGAGAGGCTAAAAAACATCAAGAAGTGCCCTCCAATCTGAATGAAACTAGAGGCGAGAGTATAATGTGGGTCCTGAGTAAGGTTACAAACATACCTGAAAATGTGGCAATGCTGAAACACCAAAGGAATACAGCCTCTTGGCTACCACTAGAGGTAAATCCTATAATAGCTTTCCAGATGGCTAACTTAAAAAAAAAAAAAGACACATGAGGCAACATGGATGCTTCACATTAGAACTTGCCCAGACCTCCTTAAATAGTATCCTCAGAGAATAAGAACAAATATTTAACTTCTTAGATACGATGAAAATTTTTGCAATAACCTAATTCATTAGATATACTACATTTCATTAATCAGATGTCATCTTTGTCAAATTAATCACTTATCATGCCCTATTTGCAAATTCAGGACAGCTTTAGTTCATTGGCTTATCTTGGGCATATACTTTCCTTGGGTAAAGGTAATACTTGAGAAACTGAGCTTCTGGCCCAGAAACTATGTTCTGTAGAGGCAGAAATTTTAAAAAATGCTATATAAAGAAGTGACAAATTCATAAAATGCATCACACGCTAATTTTTAAAGACCTTTCAAGACTTTCTTCTCACTCTAAGAATAACTGAATCAGTAAACAAGAACAGATAGCCCCTTTTTCTGACCAATTTTAAGAGTGATGAAGTTTACTCATGAAAATGAAAGATGAAAAGTTTTCAGTATTACCGTAAAGCTAATCTAAAATCACTGCCTTTGGGCTCTGAAACTAAGATATGCACAGTCATTACTTCCATGACTGCCGCTGATTCAATTCCTTCAGTTGCCTGGGTTCCAAATGGGTGAGGGTAAATAACAGATTATCTTGGCTCACCAATAATCCGCTTAAAAAAAATTAATTCAATCTTAAAAACTAACTCTAACGCCAATATGAAGCAATAAAAAGGTGTTTGGATAACTCTTTTATAGAAAATCTGAACATTTACTAGACATGTTTAGAGTAACTTTTCCACAGTAGAAATAATCCAGAAATAAACCTATCTACTGAAAACAAAGGTCAACCAGTCAGTTCATTATTTAAAAGCCTTTAAATCATCTGATAGAACACAGGACCTAGAGCATGAAATTTTGAAGACCTCAGTCTCCCACAACAGGGCACACTTCTATAGAATGTCTTCTACTAGAGTATGTCTGCTTTTGAAATGCCAGTATTGTTTTTAAAAGGTAACAAGAAGACATTTCTTTTAAGTTTTCTCTGAAGACACGCTACTGTCTTGGGTTGATCCTAATCGAAACTAAGGATCACAGAGACTGATTCTTATACATTTAGTAAGCTGCTGTATAAAATGCCCTGTCAGGTTGGTGGTGGAAACTAAGATCATAAGCATAACTAGCCTCCTACTGCAGCCACGGTAGGAATACTTCCTAGCAAGGTGCAACAATTCTTATGCAACACCCTGAAATATAAAATATCCTCAGAAATACAAGAATTTTAGAATTGTGGTCCACAGACTAAAAATACTGGTTAACTGTATATACAGGTGTCACCTGGAGCATAAAATGTGAAGACCTTCCTGGTAGTGGTGATGGTGGGAGGAGGAGCTTACCCAGCATACAGTAATAAGGAACAAAGTTATGGCTCTTTCAACATATTTCCTTTTCTCCTCCCACACCTGCTCCTGCCCTACTCAACACAGAACTCTAGATCTAAAAAAAAAAACAAAAAACACCACAAATAATAAAGTGCATGTTACTATCCTTCACCCCAAGAGTTTTTACTTTTCAAGAGAAGACCATTTAGACCCTAGATGGTAGTAATGAAAGTTGGTTAACTTTAAGTTGATCATTGGTTTGAATGAATACAGTTGCTTTCATTGCAATGTTATCAACATTTTCTTAATTTTCATGTGCCCTTACCTCTCTCAAAAAAATGTGAAACAAAAGCCAACAAAAGAAGGTTAAAAACTTTTCATCTCTGCTGTCATATTAAGATGGCTAAGTTGGGGAGATGAAATAAACACTGCATTCCTGACTTCCTAGCACAGATTCACTTCAAAAAGAAAGGAGACTTTTTCATGGTCCAGGGTTGTTTTGTTTTGTTTTGGCCATGGGGATCCTAGTTCCCTGACCAGGGATCAAACCCATACTCCCTGCAATGGAAGCACAGTCTTAACCACTGGACTACCAAGGAAGTCCCTCATGGTCTAGTCCTTTAATAAGCTATTGATGAGGATCACTGCAGAGCCCAACCACTTCTTAGAAAAAAATGTATGCTTTCTGTGGCAAAAACAAAAAGGCATAAGCGGTAGTCGGAGCTGAGGTGGTGAGCAACATTGAATCAGGAAGGGAAGAAATTATATGTAAACTCTGATTAGGTGTGCTAAAAGAGAGACCAGGAGGTAGGAGCAAAGAATAAAGGAAACTTACTGATGCTTAGTTTAAGAATGAATTTAGAAAGACACATACATCAACATCTAATATTCCTGCTGTTCTCTGGTCTCCCACTGGAATGACCTGAATCACGATCAAAAGACAACCCTAGGTGGGCACCTACAAAGAACACATCTAAGCTGGCCAATTAAAAATGAATCTGATGGAGAAGGAAATGGCAACCCACTCCAGTATTCCTGCCTGGAAAAGTCCATGGACAGAGGAGCCTGACGGGCTGCAGTCCATGGGGTTACATGACTGAGCATGTGTACACGAGGGTGGAGGGAGATGGGCTGGTAGCAATAAAGTGGTAGAACTTAAAAAAAAAAAAAAAAAAAAACTGAAAAAATAACCAGGAAAATATGTTCAAAGGTAAAATGCAAAGAGGAGGAAACTAACATACAACTTATTTGAAGCTATATCAATCATGTGTAAAGAAAAATTATTTTAGTGTCTACCTCGTGCTAGGCATAATGGAAGACCTTTATATGAGTTTCCTCACACAATACTGATGACTCTAGACGAAAGTTGTATTATCCCACTTATCAAGCTGTGGAAATTAAGAAAAGACTCAGAAAAGTTTAAGTGACTTGCCCAAGGTCACATGGCTAATAAATCTTAGTACAGTATTTAAACCCAGACCTATCAAGTTCTAAAGACTGTATTTTTCTTTTATCTTATTGATACACACACATACTGCCAATGACGTTATTTCAGTTCCTAATAAGCAATTTCTACACAGAATACCATGTGGAATAAAACTCACCAGTGTGACCCTCAAACTATTCCTACTACAAATCATAAACATATTAAGAATCAGCCAGGTCTACCTTCCAGGGCCACTCAGCTCTTCCATCACATCCCATGAAACGTAACCATAGTACTATTCTCTGCTACCAGGAATCCAAAATCTTTACAAAATTACATTTACCAGTAGTATGTCCTAACTCCCTCTGTGGCACTGGCCCATGCTGCTGAATGCATAGGATGATTCCTTTGCTAAATAAGAATTCTTCAGACTAGATATAAAAGAGCACCACTGTTTTGTGGGGTCTTTTTTCCACTCAAAATTTATCACTAAGTCCTGAAAAATCAGAATTCTGAGATGGATGAACTTAGACACCAACTAAAGGCAGTATCACTCAGGATTCACTAGCTTTTAGTTAAAAGCAGCTAAATGTTCCCCTCTAAATAGCAAGAAATGACAATCCAAAGCCCTGAGAGGCAAAGAGAATTGATTTGACAAAGGGCTAAAGAGAACTCTGGCAAACTAATTCCCAGCTTTTAATAGTGTAAGAAACACGATCTGCACAAAGGCAAAACACAAGGCAAATGAATAGAGGAAGATACATTCACTTCTAGGCTTAACTGGAGTCATGTGAAGATATGCAGCAACCATTTAGGACACAAAGTCAAGAAGCCCAGGGTCAATTAAACTTGCAAAAGTAATTTAACCAGAAGTGGAACAAAGCCAAGAACAATACCCCAACTCTTTGGAAACAGTGGCAGGAATTTTATGACTTTAGTGGTGAGCACCAGGGTAGGGTATGCCTCGAACTCAGGAATTTAAATGCCTTCAACTCCTACTCACCTTTCCTCCTTTATCACTGAAGTAGGGTCAGGCTGAGCTCCTGAGAAAATAGGTCTGCAGATTCACCGAAGGACTGAGAAAAGTTAAAGTTTAAATGGCAAAGGTGTCTCTTCTACTAAACATAATAAAAAATTGTAATATAATAAAAAATTATTAATACATGCTAACATTTTTCAGACCTCCTCGAACTATTTAGAACCACGGAAATTTATCTGACTACTAAACAAGTAACTTTCAAACATTGTTACAGAAATGAAATGAACCAGGCAAGTAATCTCCCAGTTCTGCTAAAATGTAAAACTCATTTGAAAGTAAAACCTGAATCTTTTCAAAGCTAACCCATAACCGAACCTCTCAACAAGAAGCCACAGAGCAAGGGGGAAATCCCGGAGAGAACGTGATAGCGCTGGTGCCGGTTTGTTTACAGACTCCAGCAACAATCGTATGAGTCAGAAATTCAAACCACCAGATGCTTTCCAACTAACAGGGACCAAACGGGACCGTTCTAGGGTGTCCTGAAAGGTTTAGGGGTGAAGGGAGGCAGACTACGAGAATTACATTACAAAGCGGACAGGAAAAGACGGCAACAACTGACTCCCGGGTTCTTGAACCTCGGCCTTCCGTACAAGGTGCTGGGCCCGAGAATTCGAGATGGGGGAGGGGGGCACACTGCGCGGTGGCCCCGAGGTTACGGGGAAACTCGAGGGGAGCCGCGTCCCTCAATCTAAACGGGGCGGGGGGGGGAGCGCACACAAATGGGTCACCCGACGAAGCAAGAGGTCCTGCAGACTGTGGGGCAGGCTCCTAGGGGCAGCCCTGGGGCTGACCTGAGGGAAGGGCGGCCAGTCCTCCCAGCGGCGACTCGGGTCATGCGAAAAAGACCTGAGCCCTGGGAGCTTGGGAAAGGAGTCAAACCCATCCTGAAGGGGTTTGGGCCAGGGGAGAAGGGGTCAGGCCAAGCCGGAACGAGACACGGACCGGGTAGGTCAAGGGGGGGGTGGGGGGGGAATGTCCAGCTGGGGCAGTTACAAGCACGAGAGCCGGCGAGGCTCAGCAGCCCGCTTCCCCTCTTGGGTCATCCTTCTGCCAGCGGCTGCTCCAACTGTTCCGGGCCCAGCCGCCCCGTCCACTGCCGCCACCAACGCCGCCGCCATCTTACACTGGCCAGCGGCCGCCACCACCACCGCCTCCGCTCTCTGCGCTTGCGCCTGCGCCGCCACGCTTTCCGGCCCCTTTGCGACGCTGTGCTGGAGAAGACTGAGGGAAGAGTGGTCGCGCGAGCTCTCGGCTCCCAACCCTCCTCGAAGGACGCATAGGGGGCGGGGCTTAAAGTCAACGGAAAACGGAGCGAGGGGCGCGTGCGCATGACTGAAGAGGGAAAGTTGCTCTCGTAGTTTTGCTGGGGGTTCACTTTACTCGTGATACTCAAAAGATAGACGGCGTCCCAGAATTGTGGTGGAAATCAACTTCATTTCTAACAGGATGGCAGGCAACCTTCTGAACGACCTCCATTTCCCCCCGTTTTTGAATACTGGGAACAATCTCTAGATTCCTTCTGAAACCCTTTTTCCTTTGAGCACCTTCTTAAGTGCTTTCTATACCTCTGAGAGTTATTTACCCCTGGGAGCCTCCATTTTTGAAGAAGCCTGAGGTGCGGCTAAGCTATTCAAGAGGCTCTTTCTCTGAAGCAGGGTAATGCGTTGAAGACTCCCAAGAATGGGACTGGAGGTATTCACTCTACCTACTTCTGACACCTGAAGGAAGCGTGCAGAAGACCCGTGAAAAGGTTACACCCAGCTGCCAGGCCTGGGGTGGGGTGGGGAGGGGTGGTGACGAGAAGGCCGGGGTGCAAGGATCCTTGTCATCTCTTCTACCGCTACATTCGTATTATGTGTCATTATTATAATACGTGGACTATTGCAATAGATGCCGAGGTGGTTTGTCTACTTCCATTATTGCCCTACTAGTTAAATAAAGGCATTCAGAGTGAACTTTTAAAATGTAAGCCAGATCACTCGCTCAAAAGCTTCCCATCACACAATAAAAATCAAAACGCTCAAAAGGGCCTCCAAGGAAAGCCCTACATGATACTGCACCTATTTCTCTTCTCCCATACTCCGTAGCTTTAACCCTGCTCTAGCCCTTTGGCCTTCTTCTTGTCACTCGACCAAAATATTGAAGAGCCCCAGGGCTTTTGCACTTGTTCCTTCTTCTTGGAATGTTCACCTACCAGATCTTTACTAGACTTGTTCTGTCCATTTAATCAGATCTCTACCCAAATACTCCTTCCTCAGAGAGACAGCTCTTAACCATTCCAGTTAAAATAGTATCCTACACTATCATCCTTTCACTCTGCATTTTATGCCATTTTTTACATATAATATTTAACCTCTAATTACATATTTGTAATCTATACTACTAGAATATAAGCTCTATAAGGGCAATGGCTATGTCTTTTTCATCTTTATAACCCCATCACCTAAGAGGACTTAGAACACAAAGTTAACCATCTAATGCCTTAACATTCTATTCATTCTTTCATTCACTCCATCAACAACTGTTGAATTCCTGCTACATGTAAGGCCTTTTCTAGGTACTGGAGCTGCAGTAGTGAATACAACCAACCAAGATTCCAACATTCATGGAACTTATTAGTGCAGGGGTTGGGAGTGTAGGGGGAGAAGAGGGCCATGCAGATAATATTAAATATTAAATGTAAAGAAAAATAAAGCAGGGTAAAAGTGGGTTACCTTTTTACCTACCTTAAGTAGGTGTGCTCTTTTACATATGTGGTTAGGGAAGGCACCTCTGCTGAGGTGACATTTAATAGAGATGAGGGCTTCCCTTATAGCTCAGTTGGTATAGAATCCACCTGCAATGCAGGAGACCGCAGATCGATTCCTGAGTCAGGAAGATTCGCTGGAGAATGGATAGGCTACCCACTGGAGTATTCTTGGGCTTCCCTTGTGGCTCAGCTGGTAAAGAATCTGCCTGCAATGCAGGAGACCTGGTTTCAATCTCTGGGTTGGGAAGATCCCCTGGAGAAGGGAAAGGCTATCCACTCCACGATTCTGGCCTGCAGAATTCCATGGACTGTATAGTCCATGAGGTTGCAAACAATCAGACACGACTGAGCAACTTTTATTTCACTTCAAACTACTATCCACATAATGATGACTCCCACGTATTTATTTCCAAACCAGGCTTCTCCTTCAAGCTTTAGACTGACACACCTGAGAGCCAATGGCACTTTTTAAAAAACAGCTTTATTGAGATGAAATTCACATACCATACAATTCACTCATTTAAAGTGTTCAATTGAATGGCTTTGGGTACATTCACAGATATGTGCAACCATAACCAGTCAATTTTCAATAATTTTCATCCCCTAAAAAAACCCACAAAAACCCAGTTTCCTTTAGGTATCACCTCCCACCCCCATCTCCCATCCCCCTCCAACTCTAAGAAACCACTAATCTATTTTATCCCTATTAGATTTCTCTATTCTGGACTTTCATATGAATGGAATCATATAGTATGTGGCCTTTTGTGACTGGCTTATTTCACTTAGCATGCTTCCAAAATTCACTCATTCTATAAAATGTAACAGTACTTCTTTTAAAACAAATATTCCATTGTATACGTTCAACCATTCATCTGTTGGTGGACGTTATTGTTGTTTCTACCTTTCAGCTATTACAAAAAATGCTGTTATAAAAATGTTTATGCCAGTTTTTGTTTGGACATATGTTTCATTTCTTTGGGGCATATACTTAGGAATTAAATTGCTGGGTCATATGGTTAACTATGATTAATCCAGTTGAGGAACTGACAGAGTGCTTTTTGAAGCTGTTGTACCATTTTACTTTCACACCAGCCATGTATAAATGTTCCAGTCCAGTTTTCCCCATCTTTACCAATGTTTAATAACTTTTTGATTCTAAACATCCTAATGGGTTTGAAGTGATTTTTGATTTGCACTTCCCTCATGACTAACAATGTCAAGCATCTTTTCATGTGTTTATTGATCATTTTTCTTTCTTTTGGAGAAATGTCTATTCAAGTTCTCTGCTCACTTTTTAAAATAGGTTGTTTTTCTTTTAAAAACCCACTCCAGTATTCTTGGGCTTCCCTGGTGGCTCAGCTGGTAAAGAATCCGCCTGCAATCTGGGAGACCTAGGTTCAATCTCTGGGTTGGGAAGATCCCTTGGAGAAGGGAAAGGCTACCCACTCCAGTATTCTAGGAGAATTCCATGGGGTCACAAAGAGTCAGACACGACTGAGGCACTTTTCACTTTCTTTTAAAAAATTTTATTTATGGCTGTGCTGAATCTTTGTTGCTTTGCGGGCTTTTCTCTGGTTGTGGCGAGTAGGGGCTAATCACTAGTTGTGATGTGCAGGCTTCTCATTGCAGAGATGGCTTCTCTTGTTGCACTGCACAGGCTCTAGGGCTCTTCGGATTCAGCAGTTGCGGCACATAGGCTCAGTAGTTGCAGCTCCCAGGCTCCGGAGCACAGGCTCAATAGTTGTGGCACACAGGCTTAGTTGCTCTGTGGCATGTGGGATCTTCCTGGATCAGGAATTGAACCCATGTCTCCAGCACTGGCAGGTGGATTCTTAACCACTGAGCCACCAGGGAAGCCCTCCTTTGCTCATTTTTAAATTGGGTTACTTGTCTTTTTATTATGGAGTTATAAGAGTACATAGTTTTTCTAGATACAAATCCTTCATCCGTTACATGATTTAAATATTTTCTCCCATTCTGTGAGCTGTCTTTGCACTTTTTTGATGGTGTCCTTTGAAGCACAAACTTTTCAATTTTGATGAGGTCCAATTTATCTTTTTCTTTTATTGCTCATGCTTTTGGGGTCCTATATAATAATTCTTGGGCTTCCCTGGTAGCTCAGACGGTAAAGAATCTGCCTGCTATGCATGAGACCTGGGTTGGATCCCTGGGTTGGGAAGATCCCCTGGAGAAAGGAATGGCTACCACTCCAGTACTTTTGCCTGGAGAATTCCATGAACACAGTTATTACTTTTAGCTGTTTGAGTTAATTTTTTAATATGGTGTGAGGTAAGGATTGAACTTATTATTTTGCAGGTGGCTATCTAGTCGTCCCAGGGCAATTTTCGAAAAGACTGTTTTTTCCCATTGGATGGTCTTGGCCCCTTTGTAAAACAAATCAGCTAACCATAGATATATAGATTTACTTCTGGAGTCTTAATTCTATTCCACTGGTATCTATGTCTTTTCTATGTGCCATCACCCCCCTTTTTTTTAAGATTTATTTTTTTGTTGCACTGGTGGTTTTTGTTGCTGCCTGCAGGCTTTTTGTCATTGCAGAGAGCACAGGTTCTAGGTGCCCAGGCTCAGTAGTTGTGGCACACAGGCCTAGTTGCCCCATGGCACGTAGGATCTTCCTGGACCAGGGATCAAACCTGTGTCCCCTGCCCTGGCAGGTGGATTCTTAACCACTGGAACACCATGGAAGCCCTCATCCCACTGTTTTGATTATCATTGTTTTGTAGTGAGTTTTTCAAGATTATTTTCTTCTTCTGAGTCTACTGTGATTCCATATGACTTTTAGGATTACTTAGTCAATTTCCACAAAGTAGGCTGGGATTCTGATAGAGATTGCATTGAATATGGAGATTAGGGAGTAGAACAGTTCCCAACTGACAATGGTTCAACTTATGATTTTTTTACTTTATGGTGGTGTCTAAGAGATAAACATTTCTGTAAAAACTGTACTTTGACTTTTGATCTTTTCCTGGGCTAGGGATATGTGGTA